CGGTAGCTTTCGGAAAGGTGGATAACATATATTTAATACTTGCGCCGGGTATTTAATGTTCGGCTCCGCCCGAACTTAGACTTTCTTACTTGTTTTTTAAATAATTTTTTTAATTATTACTAGCCGACCTGGCGAACTTCGTCCCGTCCATAATTAGATTTTTAATTTAATCTTTTTGGTCCAACATTTTCTCCAACAGTCCACGATTTCCATTGGCAAATTCATCGGTTAAGATCAGGGACGTGAACCGGATGAAAAATTTGGTCGGTTCGGTTCAGTGGCTCGAACCGTTTTTGCATTTTTGGATTGGTTCATCAAAGCGGTTTCTTTTGCTCTTTGAACCGGGTTTTCGGTTCGGTTCAACGGTTCGAAAAAAAAATAACGTGCAAGTTTAAATGTCAAGTGTCAAGTGCAACAACGGGTAAGGTTAAGGGTCAAGTGTCTGTCAAATGAGATGGGTTTCCTTTACATTTGATATTGTCACATGGTAAACAAACATGGTAGGTATTACCATGTTTAACAAAAAGAAACAAGTGGGTACATTATCTATTACAAATTGGTTGAAACGAACCTTTATAGCAAGTGGTTCGGTTTTCGGTTCGGATCAAACATTTGTGGAAAATTTCGGTTCAGTTAATGGTTCAGTTAATTAATAGAAAAAGGCGGTTTTCCGGTTCAAAACCGGTTCGGTTCAAATGAACTTTTCTCTCAAAGTTTACACTGCTGGCAAATGTAAATAAGGATTAAAATTTAAAAACTAATTAATGCAACTAAAGTAAAATCTGTGGAAAATTATCAATAAAATACTTTTTTCGCAAAATCTTTAAAGGACCCTTTTATTTCTCAAAAAAACCTTGGGTAACAGTTAGTCGTCGCCACGCTGTAAATTCGAGCATAAATACGATTTTTAGTTACATATACATATTATTTTTTGCTGTTATCAATAGATATTTTGAACCTGAGGATAATCGGACCATAAACCCAATTTTTAGTAATAACTCGACTCCAACGCCACCTGAAGGCTCTGTTTTTTTTTGCAATGGTATTGCTATCCCTATTGTCAATACATATCTGGATTATGCGGCGAATCGGACCCTAAACACGATTTTTAGTAATAACTCGACTCCTACGCCACCTGGCGGCTTTTTTCTGCAGTGGTATTGTTTTTCCTATTGTCAATACACATCTCAAATATGAGGCGAATAGGACCATAAATACGGGATTTACGAATAACTCGACTTCAGCGCCACCGCCACTTATGGTTACATGTGTATATCTTGGTAACCGCTGCACCAATTTCTTCCAAATTTGGCACAGTTGTTGACCTTGGTACAGCATACCAAATTTTTTAAAATCGGACAATAACCACGCCCACATCCCATATCCCACGGTAATTTAGAGAAATACAAAATCTTCGATAAATCAGTAAATATTAAAGCTAATTTATTCAAAATTGACGCTTGCAACAATTCTTTACCGAGAAATACGTTTATGATAAAATTTTGGAAAATGGACGTGGCACCGCCCACTTATGATCACATATATGTATCTCGGTAACCGTTCTCCCAATTTGTCCCAAACTCGGTATGGTTATTGTGCTTGCCACATAAGAGCAAAGCATTGAAAATTATTNTATAAAAGCAAAGCGTTGCAAATTATTGAAATCGGCCTAAAATTACGCCCGCTTTTCATATAACAATAAATCTCAGAAATGCTTGAAATTTCAATATTTCGAAATTTAAGGACGCTAACTTACTCAAAATTGATACACCCCCCATAACACGTAGCGATAGCTTGCGGAAAGGTGAAAAACATATATTTAATTAATGTTCGGCTCCGCCCAAACTTAGACTTTCTTACATGTTCTAAATACAATTTACCCACTAAAAAGAACTAAACAGACATTTCCCTAAAAAATTAATTATATGCCGCCAGGAAGCCACTAAAGTCGACAAATTTTATACTAAAGGTATTGGCCCAATGCAGGCTTGCTTTGCTTGCCTCGCTTTGAGAACTGTCAAAAGTTATTTGGAATATACTAAAATGTATGAAGGCTGGCCAAATGGCAGCTTTGCTTCACTTGCTTTAAGCGCCTCAAAGTTTCAAATAGGCAAATGTTTTGTTTGAAAGCGTTTCGTAGGCTTTTGACAAAAAGGTATGTTCCCGTTCTAAATCAATTCAAACAAACTGCTGCACACTTTTATGTACACAATTTTTTTTACGTAACTAAAGAAAATATATATAATATAAGTTATTCAAAGTTTAATAAAAATGATTATATGTTTCCATATTTATATTCAACATATCGCTGGCTGAAAAGTTGCTAAGTCCATTTTTACAAATTTTACAGGAACTTTGAATACAACATTTTGCGTGATTAAAGCAAAGCAAAACTCCATACGAATCAAAAGGATTCGATCTTTATTAAAAGATTTCGTATTATTTTGGCCTTATCGGAAAATTTGTCTTTCATTGAATATAAATAAGAAAAAATAAAACAAGTACTTTAATCCTTAATTTCTCTTGCTAGCTAGCGATATTTATGATGTCAAACTACTGGTCATTCGTCTCTTGAAGAATTGGATTTTTTTTTTTGTGTTTAATAAATGTACCTATAGTTATATATGTATAATTATTATCATTCCTTTGAAATGCATTCAAATTCGCATCAATTTAAAAATAAATCTGAAAAGATTGTTTGTATTTTTTTTAGTTTTCTGGAATTTTGTGGGAAAATTATTCATAGTGTAAGGGAATAGACCTTAATTTTTTTAACTACACAGCTGGTAGCTTTGACAGCGTTCCAAGCCGTCATTTGGCCAAACGAGTTTTTGAAGTAAATCAAAGCAAATTAAAGTAAGTAAGACGTGCAAAGCAAGCCTGCACTGGGCCAGCGCCTTAAGAATTTCAATAAGAGCATAGCCATGCGTAAGCTCTTCACAGAAAAAAATGTCAAAAATATATTCTTTGAAATAAAATGTTGGTTTGATGTTTCTTGTTTCCATATAGAGAGTAGAGAATTACAGGAATTAAAATTTTGGAATAAAATTAAACACACGATGTCCCTGCGGTATTCCAGAAAAGCAATTTTTTTAAACAAAATTTCAAAAATGCGAAATTTTAATGGAATCAATAAAAAATATATGTAATAATAGGTTATTTTTTATTATTTTATTAAATAGTACGGCCCTTTAGCTTTCAAAAGAAAAAATAAAACCTGCTCATTTTTTGCACTTTCTGAAGTAATGCGTTTTTTGCTAATGCATAAAATAATTTTTTAATTTTTTGTCGGTGCCTTGAGATCTGCACGATTCGTTCCATTTTCAAAAATGAAGTGTCAGATTAAATAGCTTGACCTGTGGACAATAGGAGGTTTATTTTTTTTTAAAGAGTTGCCACTTGTTAAAAAGTAAATTAGATTAAAATTTTATTATAAGTTAAAGGAATTATTAAGAGATGGATATCAATCGAAATGTTTATTAACTACATGCAGCGAGTTGCCACCTATTTAAAAAATCATATTCCACTTGAATTAAAGGAGTTAGGTAATTGAAATAGATAGGTATCACAATAAGGGGTCAGACGAAAGAGGTTTAAGAAGGGTTTGGCTTAAAAATATTACGAATAGGTTGCCACCTGTTTGCAAAGTCGAATTTACTTAGACTAAAATATTAAGTACGTCAAACCATAGGATTACGCCATCGTATTTGTTATTTTATTACAAATACATACATTGTCAATCAGTGATTTGCTCTGATTACATTCCTTTTAAATTACTGGACTCTTAAATTAACTCAGGAATGTTTTTACTCTTCACTTATTTCTTTCTAAATATGTAAAATTTTTTCATTTCTCTGATACTCATATTGATATACATATTTCAGTTAACTTATTCCTTTAATTTAAGTAAATTTGATTTTTTAAACATGTGGCAACCCTTCTACGTGTCGTTTAGAAGTAAAGTATTTTCAAAATGAGTTCAATTTATACCCATATTGTAATATGTAATTCATTTGACTTATTAAATAATTTTATTAAAATTTGTAACATGTGGCAACCCTTTTCAAAAACAAACAACTTCATTGCACATCTAAAGGCCAAGCCCTGTCATTTGATACCTTACTTTTGAAAATAGAACGAACTATATGTACATATCTACATATGTAAAAGCCACAAGAACCCAAATTTTCAACTTCAAACTGCATTTACAGTGAAAGTATGAAAGTTATCCAAAACCAAATTGCATTTTTGAATTTAGCGTCCTGAATTTTACTAAGAAGTGAATTTCATTTTCATTTAAATCCGTTCATAATTCTATTTTTGCCCACAGTGCGGGAAGCATCGTGTAGATTTTTTATTACCAGTCCCTCTAAAACAGTGGTGTCCAACAGAACTTGGACAAAGGGCTACTTTGAAACTATCGCTATAATACGCGGGCGCCGCTAGCTTAACTTCAATCTTAACTGCGTCAATTCGTTTCACTCTTCTTATATTCAATGTATATATTCTACTAACTGATCCTTTTAAAATATTTATTTATTATTAAAGTTTATACAGTTAAGTTAAATTAATAACAATGCATAACATTTTAATGAAGAACATTCACTGGGAATGTGCTGCAATTCGTACGATTTGCATATGCACAACCTTCTTCGGAGATTGATTAACAAAACGGCAAAATTTGGCACTGAATCGATAGATATGACGTAAGTTATGTGTTTCTCGCCGTTTTCATTTGAAATATTTATTACTTTCCCTAAAAAGAATCAAAAATAGTTTGCAAATCGCACCGATTTCAAATCGTACGACTCACAGCACATGTCCAATAAACTTAATATGTGAGACGTAAAGTTAAAAAAGACCTACGCTCAGAAAAAAAGATTTCGGGAAAAACGACTTTAAAGTTTACCAAGTTGATTTTGATGCTTCTGACATTTTAATGACGAATCCGATGTTAGTTTTCCAAAATTCAAAATGGCGGATCCAATATGGCGGATGACATTTCTAAAAATTTATCGGAATCGCTTGAAACTCGTTGTTGTTGTTGCAGCAGCATACAAAATTCCCCAAAGACTTTTTGGGGAGTGTTACTGGGGTGACAGTCCTTGCCCAGATATAAATCTGGGTCGTTCCGGTTACGTAGACCCGACTGTCGTGGGAAGGTTACCCGGGGGTTTTTGGTGTCGCTGATTACGAATGCGAGGCTCGTTTTTAAAAATTCAAAATGGCGGATCCAATATGGCGGAAAAATTTAAAATTTGTTCGGATTCATGTAAAACTTAAAAACGCCGTTGACACCGAAAACAAGGTAAGTGATTACGAATCCGATGTTCGAAAACCCCCGAGTAACGAATTTCAAGCGAATTTGATTAATTTCAGAATAGTTTGTCAGATTTGATTTTTTGTACTTTTTTTTGTGAAAGTAGCTACAAAGCTGCGGTTTATTGCATTGAAATGAGTGGCCCGTTTACTATAAGAGTCGATGAAAAAGTGAAAACCGATTTTTGCTAACCGTAGGTTCCTTTTAACTTTACGTGTATCACATATGATGCTTGAATCTTCATATTTTCAGTTAACTTCTTAAAATCTGGTTTATATTGCACAGTTGCTAAAATCATGTTATTTTTGACATGTTCGTCAGTCAGTACGTTTCGGTGTTTGTATTTTATAACCATTAGTTGTGAAAAAGCTTGTTCCAGAAGAGTAAACGTCTGGAAATGTTGAAAGTTTTTCTTTGTCAACTGCTCTATCCATACATCGATTTCGACATTGCAAAGTTGTATTGAAATCATTTAGTTTTGCTGTCACATCAGTTAAAAATGCTGCCTTTGGATTTCAGGAAAATCTTTATTTCTGTCATCAAAGCTACAAATATTGAGAGCACTTTACCTTGACTCAGCCATCTTACTTCAGAGTGGTAGAATATGTCATCGAATTAACTCTCAAATTCATCGAGCAAGGCTTTGAATTGCCGATGCTTTAACGGACATCCGCAAATCAAATACACAATACGAACGATCGTGCTCATAACCTTGTCAAGGTTGAGTGTTTTTGTAATCAGATTTTCCTTCTTTTTCACTACGTTATAATTTATATCTTGCCCACGAGTACGAGTTTCCAAGGTCAGATTGACTAACAGTGCCTCCTTAGCAGAAAAATAAGAAAATACCACTCTGGTGAACATTAATAAGTGCGGAGAGTCTGAAACATGGGTCGACTCATTCATTTTTAAGGAAACCTAGTCACATTTCTTGAAATCGCTTTTTATTTGGCCATGAATATCACTTGGTAGGTCATCAGATAATGACACTTTTTTATTGCTGAGATTACGCTGTTTTTGTTTTGAAGATCCTGAAACAGAGATTCTGTCATGTCTAGCATAGAAAGATAAGAAGTGAATGAGTTCGTGAAAATTCAAAAATAAAAGTCTACTTATGTACCAAAAATGCTTCCAATCGTTAAGCTTTTCAATTCAATACAAAATATTCTGTTCATCTTCTTGTTTGCGGGCGCTTAAAATTTAGGTCGCGAGCTACCAGGCGCCCGCGAGCTACCGGTTGGACCCTACTGCTCTAAAACTTCCGCCAGACAACTCGCCTGGGCGACTCGTTTTCTTATTACTTGAATGAGGCGTTTTATTATTGCTACAGGCGATATTTGAATAATAACGAGCCCTAACAGCCAAAATAACGTAAGCGACATTTTTTTTTTTAATTTTCTTTTTTATGCAAAAATGCATCTAGATGCTCTAGGAATATTTTTTCATCAAAAAGAAAATTTTGAAAAAAATGTCGCTTACGTTATTTTGGCGGTTAGGGCTCGATAATTTCTTGCAACAGTTTTATTATTTTTTAATATTTTTTTTATTTTGAACATAAACTTATAATTTGTAATCGAAATTAATTATTTTCGTCGCTAAAATTACATAAAATAAATGATGTTGCCGATTTCTCACCACAGCAATAAATTGATGATTGTTGCCTATTCCTCATGTTTTGCATGGTGGGTAATATGCTCGTTTGGCATTATATTTTTGTTAATAAGATATTAAAATATAAAATGAAAATGATTTACTTTGAAAGCAAACTCGAAAGAAATGAACAGAGAGAGTTAAAGCTGGGTTATGCAAGACTCATACTACGTTTATACGCACGCATTATTTGCAAATAACAATTTGCAAAATGGTAAACTTTTCCGCATAAACGCTGAGTAAATTTTTTATTTATTTATTATTTTATTTATTTACTTATTGTAGCGAAAGTGCGCAACAGGTGCGTGCCTTCTCTTTTGCCCTAGTGCGTTTTTTGATTGGATGAAAAGAGAAGGCACGCCTCTGTTGCGCACTTTCGCCACAATTATAACGAGTTGTCCCTTCTTGTCATCTACGTTCTTTGATTATTGATTAGTAGTACTATTTGCAAATAAGCGCAAGACTTTGCCATTCTTAAGTTTATTTTCTTTTTAGATGGCCTTTTATTGCCTTTTTATAATCAAAACGTTGCCATTTCTAGCTTTCTTTTCTTTTTCGATGACCATATCATTGCTTTTTTATAATCAAAGAATTTTTCACCGTCGAATAAACAGTGAGTTAGGTATTTGCAAATTANATTATTGATTAGTAGTACTATTTGCAAATAAGCGCAAGACTTTGCCATTCTTAAGTTTATTTTCTTTTTAGATGGCCTTTTATTGCCTTTTTATAATCAAAACGTTGCCATTTCTAGCTTTCTTTTCTTTTTCGATGACCATATCATTGCTTTTTTATAATCAAAGAATTTTTCACCGTCGAATAAACAGTGAGTTAGGTATTTGCAAATTATTTTTATTTGCAAATAGCTGACGTATAAACGTAGTATTAGACTTGACTTGACTTACCTAGAAACCTTTTATTTTGAATATCTGCACTTGTATTTGTACACCTAAATTGCAAACGTTTAATTTGTTTTTACACAAAAATGGATACACAATTACCAGTAAAACAAATGTATTTACGCGTATCAAATTGTGATTGTGTTTATTTTATTTTCTGTCTTTATTTGAAAGTTTGTTTTTCGATTGCCAGATGAATTAAATTTATACATTATTTGTGTGCCATATTTGTAGGGATTTTATTTAAAAATAAAATGGCAGCATGATTCTCTCACGGGTCTCTTTGCACTTAGAAATGAAAAATCTATCTATCTATCCAAGGTTCTAAGTGAAGTTATTTTTTGGGTAACTACATACACGCGCTGCTTATTTACCAGATATACAATTTTCAAGTCAAGTCAAGTCTAAGTTTTGCATAACTGAGTTTTTACACAGATTTCAATTATATTTTTATGTGTAAAAAGTAATTCCTCAGGATCTGATTAATTAGGATTATGATTATGTAATTAAACAATTATTTAACCGATCCCTAATATGTATGTATGTATCTTTTGTGGAACAAAGTAAAAAATTCTCAATTCAAACGAAAATCGAATAACATATACATACATAATATTGAGCAAAAAAATCGATATACTTCGATATAAAAAAAAGTAGCAGTAGCAGTAGAAATCACTATGAATTAGATGGATTACCTCAATATTTTATAGAATAATTTGCTTCCAAGTGTCGAAAAACTGAGTTTGGATAAATCTTGGGTGTTTCAACAGGACAATGATCCTAAACTCACTGCGAAAATCGTGAAAGAATGGATGCTATATCACGTGCCCAAGAAATTGGATCACCCCCCACAGTCACCGGACCTCAACCCCATAGAACATCTATGGGAGCACCTGGACAGACAAATCAGAAAAAGGACTATCAGCAGTAAGGCCATGCTCAAAGATGTTATTGCAGAAGAATGGCAAAAAATTGCACCGGAAGTTACAGCAAACCTTGTCAATTCAATGCCGCGTTGCTTATAAGCCGCAATTAAAGCAAATGGAAAGCACACAAAATACTAAAAATTTGTTTCCGTCACTCATTGTTCTTTTGACGCCAAAATATGAAGCACTTTAAGTTTTCTGTTCATAACTTTTGTTGTTGTAAGAATTTTGTTTTTGTTCTTCCATAGATTTGAAAAGTGAAAATAACATTTTCGAAAAATGTGAAATGTTACATTTTATCAGCTAACAAAAACTAAAAAAAACTAGCAATGTAATAAAACCATTTTGTACACTTTCTTTTGACGGCGACTGTATAACTGTCCATGGGAAAACACAGGGTTAGGTAGGTATAATCCGGCTTTATCAAGAGTCTGGCCCTGGGCTTTATTAATTGTTATAACAAAAGCTACTTTTATAGGAAACTGTTTGTTGTCATTTGAAAGGGTAGGATTGCTGTATGTAATGGTAATATAAAAGTATGCAAAGTCGGCAATTATGCCCTGTATGCAGCTCTCAAGAAAACGGTCAAGAAAAAATTTCCATTATTTCGTGTATGTGTCCAAGGAATTTTGACATTTTTGATACTTCACAGTCTGTTGACTCACTCTTTCCTCAAGAAATAATGGAACGGGCATATATTTCTGTTGCAAACCTGGGTTGCCTTGTGCTCTTTTTTCACAAAAAAACTTTAGAAAACCGTAGTAGAAAGCGTAGCAAATTCCTTAAGAACTGCGTACTGCCTTAAGGAAATTTGACTCAAGAAAACTTCTTAGCCATTTCTTGTACGTCATTTTATATGGGATTTTTGCTTTTCTTGAGAGCTGCATACAGGCCTTTAGTAGTGAATTTCCTTTTGCGAATTCTAATGTATTTGCAGGAAAGTTGGCATTTCAAACGGAATATTAAGAATTATACGAGAATTGTGTATATTTATTTTTATTTGAATATAGAAATTAACATATTGCACAAAACCGTATATGTTCTGCTACAATTTGTTTTAATTTCATCGGTTAAATGTGCTTTATTTGAATATAGAAATAAACATATTGCACAAAACCGTATATGTACTGCTACAATTTGTTTTAATTTGCATAGAAACAACATGGTTCCACGGCTAAGGGAGCGGTGCGAGAGAGACAACTGTCAGTTTATCGAACCTTTAATTATTGAATTATGTGTGCGCCATATATGTATAACTCCTATATTGGCAGTAAGAGCTAGTACCGTCCGAAAACACTACAGTACAGATATATCAATAAACACGCACGAAAGAAAAGGAACACATACGTTTATAAATAAACATGTACACAACACATATGCAAAAACGGCACTCAAGTACACAATCCATTGACAAAAACGGTACTAGACTGTCTCGCTTTGATTTCGGAA